TTTTTTTTTTTTTTTTTTTGTTACGGTCAGTCTTAAAGGCAGAAGTTGATAAGGGCCCAGGCCTGGAATCCCAGCTACTTGGGAGGCTGAGGCAGGAAAATCTAAAGTTCAAGACCAGTTTAGGCAATTTATCAACACCTTGTCTAAAAAACAAATAAATAAAAAAAAATTGAAGTAGTCTCTCCATGTAGCCCTGTAACTGTTCGGGCTGTCCTGGAACTCTCTGTGTAGATCAGGCTGGTCTTGAACTCACAGATTTCCACGTGCCTCGGCCTCTCAGGTGCTGAGAGTAAAGGTGTACAAATTATGCCTGGATGAAAAGATTTTATTTTAATGATAAGGATGAAGCTCAGTGGTAAAGTATTTATCCAACATGCACCAGACCCTCCCTCCAGTTCAGCAACACAGAAAATGAAACGAAGTGAGGTTGATGGAGAAGTTGGTACATTCGGTTTAGAACAAAAGTATTTTAGGGCATTTGCCACCAATTTCGACAACCTGAGTTTAAGTCTTGGGACCCACGCAGTAGAGGGATGATCCACCTCCTGAAAGTTGTTCTTTGACCTCCTCGTGTGCGCTGGGACATGCATGCCCCCTCTCTACACAAAACAAAAATTATAAGTGTAATAAAACAAACAATAGCAGCAACAAAAAAAGGGACTGGGGAGATGCCAAAGTGGTAAAGAGCACTGGCTTCTCTTGCAAAGGGCTGTGTTCCATTTCCAGCACCCACATGGTGGCGCACAAACGTCCATAATTCCAGTTCCAGGGGATCCAAAGCTCTCATCTGACTGCCACAGGCACCGGGCATGCACATACACAGGCAAACATGGGATCAAAACACTTGTAGACATAAGAGAAATTTATGAAAAAAGGAAAATTATAATAAAATAATAAGAAACCGGGTGATGGTGGCACACGCCTTTAATCCCAGCACTCGGGAGGCAGAGGCAGGCGGATCTCTGTGAGTTCGAGACCAGCCTGGTCTACAGAGCTAGTTCCAGGACAGGTTCCAAAACCACAGAGAAATCCTGTCTCGAAAAACCAAAAATAATAATAAAATAATAAAATAATAATAAATTAATAATAAATACCTGATAAATTATAATCAATAATAGCAATAATAAATCTTGGGTCTGGAGAGATGGCTCAGGGGTTGAGAACACTGGCTGCTCTTCCAGAGGTTCTGAGTTCAATTCCCAGCACCTAAATGACTCACAGCCATCTGTAATGAGATCTGACACCCTCTTCTGGCCTATAGGTGTACAAGCAGGTAGAATAATGCATACATAATAAATAAATAAACATGGGGCTGGAGAGATGACTCAGTGGTTAAGAGCGCTGACTGCTCTTCCAGAAGACCTGGGTTCAAATCCTAGCACACACATGGCAGCTCACAACTGTCTGTAACTCCAAAATCTGACATCTTCACAAGTACATACATGTATGTAGCAAAATACCAATGCAAATAAAAAAAATAAATTATAAAAAGAAAATAAATAAATAAATCTTAAAAAAAATCAAATTTCTTGATTTGCAAGGGTTTGTTGTTGGTGTTTGTTTTAAGTCCATTATCATTGCTTGCCTAAGCTGCTCTCATTCAGCACCTCATCCCCCAGTATCCAGGACTACTGACCCCTGACTAGTTCATACTGGAGGAGGGTAGCACGGTAGCTAGTCATTTTGTGAGTTTTACACCTGCCGTCTCCTAAGCCTCACACTAACTCTATGACATACATTTTATTAGCCTCCCATTTTACAGATGAGGAAATAGAGGTCCAGAGAGATGAATAATAGCTAACATTAGCTAACCACGCACCACATTTCAAGTCCTGGGCTAATTGCTGTAAGTGAATTTATTCATTTAATCTTCTCCCAGCCTTCAGAGCTGAGCTAAGCACTATTATTATCCCCATTTTATAGATGGGGAAATTGAGGTTTAGAGAGGGCGAGGACCTTGCTGGCAGCTGGTGGAGTTCAGGATCCTCTCCATGTGGCCCCAAAGCCGCCCAGCTGCTAGTCACTGAAAACTTCCAGGATACAGTTTATCTAAGCAGTTCTGAGCAAGCGCCTTGTGTGTGTGTGTGTGTGTGTGTGTGTGTGTGTGTGGCTTGGCTTTCTAAAGCCTGGTTTCTAATCCGGAAGACAGAAATGATAATAACATCTTGCTAACAGGGCAATGGTGGAGATTAAATGAGACAGTTCTATGGAGGAGTCAGCGTGGTCTAACCCATACTGAGGGATCAACTGAGGGAACGGGTTTTAATAACCGTCCTTGTTTCTCAGTTGGCCTACCAAAGTCAGATAACCTTACGAGTTTAGAGAAAGTCTCTAAAAAACAAGATGGGGGGGGGGGGACTGAAGAGATGGTTCAGAGGTTATTTAAGAGCATTGTCTACTCTTCCAGAGGTCCTGAGTTCAATTCCCAGCAACCATATGATGGCTCCCAACCATCTATAATGAGATCTGGTGCCCTTTCTGGCATGTAGGCATTCACGCAGTCAGAATACTATATGCATAATAAATAAATAAATAAATAAAAAATTTTTGTTTTGTTTTTTGAGACAGGGTTTTTGTGTAGTCCTGGTTGTCCTGGAACTCACTCTGTAGACTAGGTTGGCTTCGAACCCACAGAGATACTCCTGCCTCTGAAGTGCTGGGATTAAAGGTATGCACCACCAATAAATAAATCTTAAAAAAACAAAAACAAAACAAGATGAGTACGGGCTACATCTGTAATCTCAGTACTTTAGAGGCTTAGGGAGGAGCCTGGGCTACATAGTGAGCTGCAGATCAGTCAGAGTTATAGAACAGGACCCTGTCACAAAAACAAACAAAACAAAAGAACAAAGTTGGAGTATAGCCCAGTTCTTAGCATGCACAAAATCCTGGGTGTGATCTCATCCTAGTCTCCCATAAAATGACATGGTGACCCATTGAGCAATCCAGCATTTGGGAGGCAAAGGCAGGAAGATCAGAAGTTCAAGGCCAGCCCGAGTTACACAAATCGGTGTGTCAAGAACAATTATTAAAGAACTGGCCCTTGCATTATTTTATGGGGCCATGCCCCATGAGGGCGGGGGGGGGGGGAAGGTTTTACTTTTACTTCCATTTATAACAAAGACAAAGTGATGGTGCACACCTTTAACCCAGAACTCAGGAGGCAGAAACAGCAGGTCTCTGTGAGTTCGAGGTCAAGCTGGTCTCCATAGAGAGTTCCAGATCAGCCAGAACTGCATACTGAGACCCTGTCTCAAACCAAAACCAAAAATTCAATCAAACACAAATCCAAACAAACAACACTCAGTTTGACATTTATGGCAGATTCCCAGATATCTTAGGGTTTGTACTGCTGTGATGAAACACCATAACCAAAAGCAAATTGGGGAGGAAAGGGTTATTTTTGCTTGCACTTCCACTGTTCATCATCCAAAGAAGTCAGGATAGGAACTCAAACAGGAGGCAGGAACCGATGCTGAGGCCACAGAGGGGAGCTGCTTACTGGCTTGCTGCCCATGACTTGCTCAGCCAGCTTTTTTATGGCATCCAGGACCACCAGCCCAGGGATCGCCCCATCCACAATGGGCTGGGCCCTACCCATCAACCACTAATGAAGAAAAGCCCTACTGGCTTGCCTGTAGCGGATCTTGGATCTTATGGAGACATTGTCTCAATTGAGGTTCCCTCCTCTCAGATGCCTTTAGCCTTTGCCAAGTTGACATAAAACTATCCCGCACACCAGCTGAAGTTCATCAGAGGTGACATCCAAAACCGTATCGTGACATGTGTTCACCAGTGTAATATCGTACAGAATAGTATTGCCACCCTTTAAAAATCCCGGGGCTCTGCCCTTCTGTCCATCTCTCCACCCTAGCTCCTGACACCGCCAACCTTCCATCACCTCTAGAGGAACCTCACTAGCTCTGCCTTTTCCAGGACAACACAGAATTGGGATCACAGAGTACGGAGCCTTTTCCAGGTGGCTTCTTTCACCTAGACATGTGTAATAAGGGCTCCTCTGCATCGTTCCGTGGCTTGGTTGCTCATTTCCGTTTCTGAGTTTCATTGTCTAGATATTCTATACCCTTATCGACTTAGCCACCACCCGAAGAGATATTGCTCACTTCTGTGTCTTGGCGATTATGAAGGACGCTGTTAGAAAGTCATGCAGGTTTTTGTGTGTACATAATTTCAATTAATTTGGGTAAATATCAAGAAGAGGTTAAATTTTGTGAGAAACTGTCTTTGAGAGACAGGTGTGGTGGCTCTCACCTTTCATCCCAGCATTCTGGAGGCAGAGGCAGGTGGATCTCCGAGTTCAAGGCCAGCCTGGTCTACAGAGAGAGTTCCAGGAGAGCCAGGGCTACGCAAAGAAACCTGTATCGAAAAAACAAAATGAATAAATTAGTTAAACTAAATAAACCGTCTTTCACAGTAGTTGCGTCACCGTGCCACCATTTGGTGTTTGAGCTTGTCGTTCCTCTCCTTTCCCATGCTGGCTCTGGATTTGGGGCCTCGCGGGTATTAGACCTCTTAGAGCCTCAAGGGTGTTCTCAGACTGAGCTATTGAGAGCCTGTTGTGGGGTGGAGCTTTGGAAGTGCCCCTTGGATTTAGCCAGTTGGCACCATCCAGCAGGGACCAAGACTCAATTACAACCTTTGAACAGTTCTATCCTGACCAAGTCCATGAATGTCCAGTGCCTGCCTTGAGTAGAACTTCCAAACATTTAGCACGTCCCTCTGGTGTCTTCCCTGGACAGTGTAGCTCAGCATCTTCAGATATGCCCGCAGTCTCCAGCAGTTAGAGCGGACAAAATCTCCAGGCAAGATCTCTCGGACACGGCCTCTAGGGTTTCGGAGTCCAGCGAGGATCACCTCTGGGCTGCGCCGGGCGTCCCCTTGGCCCGAGTCTGGCGGCTCGCCCCGGCTTTAGGCCGGTGGGTGTCTATCCGGTCAGCCTCCAGCAGGGGGCGCCCTTCGGTCCGCTGGACTCGCGCGGGCGCGGGGGGCGGCGCTGCGCTGCGCCGTGCTGCGCTCCAGCCCGGACCCGGCCGGGGCCGCTGGATGCCGCGTCTCCGCTCCTGCTGCCTGCCGGGCGGGCTCCGGCGGCCGGTGAGTACGGGGCAGTCCCGCGGGGGTGAGCCGGGCCCGGGAGGGTACCGCGGTGGGCTCGGGCCGGCCGGCGGGGCCCTCGGGCTCCTGCTCCTCCCCTGTCCCTTGGAAGCGGCGGCCCGGACTCTAGGCTCTGTCCCTGGCGGCGCCGCGGGGCTGGACAGCCCGGGTGGGGGCCGATCGGGAGCGGCGGGCAGGGAAAGCGCGGGGCCCGGGCTGGCAGGCTGGGCGCCGGAGGCAGAATAGGGTGGCCTTTGGCTGGGGAGGGACTGGAGGTTTAGAGGACCCAGGTGGCCCTGAGCTGTGGGGTGGGGGCTGCAGCCTCGGAACTGGGTCGGGGGGCATCTCTGGGCTAGGCCCAAGACCCCCAAATGAACCGAGCGGGTGAGGCACTGAGGAAGACAGCGAGGAAGGCGAGCACCTCCGCCGAGTCCTTTATCCCTGCCCGCGGCCTTCACCCTTTCACTGCCAGGCCGACAGCGGGCTCCTCTCAAAAGAGCAGCTGCTAGACAGCTGGCAAAACAATGGAGACCCCGCTTCCCGGGCCCCCTCCTCTTGGGACAGATGATGGGGGCGGGTGGGCCAATGTCAGGCTAGGGGGATCAGCAGTGTTGGCTGTCCCGCTTAACTGGTTGCCCACTTCACCTTTCCCTGCAAGGGGTGGGGTGTGTGTGGGAAGGTAGGGCAGCCTGCCCCAGGCCTTTGGGAGAGAGCACCGATGCCCCGCCCTGCGAACCTGCCTTGCCAGTTGTTTCGCCAATGGAAGGGCAGGTGCCCCCGCCCTTCCCTGTGCTGGAGGCGCACTCGTTGGTACCCAGCATGACCCAAGGAGTGGGGGTCACACTCCTAGAAGAGATAAGGCCTGCCGGCACACACCACAGGTTGAGGCATTGTTGTGGGGGTGTCGCCCTGTGGCAAGGCACATGTGTCCTACTGATTAGTTGGAAAGACTGCCGCCAGAAGGAGCTCGGGGTGGCTGGAGGTGGGAAGGGGAGGACAGCCAACTTGTTTCTGTACTCATTTTGCCTGGTCTTTTATCCAGTAAGGCGTGTGTTTGTCAGCCTCCTGGTGTGTGGTGGAGAGGCCAAGGAAGCATTTCCTGGAGGGGGCTGCCCTGTGGGGCTTTCCTGCCCTCAGGTAGTCCTCCAGTTAATAGAATTAGGATCTGTCTCCCTTCATCTCACTAATGCACTGGGCTTGTTTGCAGAGGTCTACTGTGCCTCTCTGTGTCCCGGACTTATCTGTGGCTGAGGCGCCCCTGAAAATGCCCCGCGGTAGTTGAGCGAATGCAGTGGGGTCATATTGGAAAGAAGGTGAAGTTCGCTGCAGAGCGAAGCGTGGGGCCCCTCTAGCAGGATGATGAATTCTGGCTGCCTTGGCTTATGCTCACCAAATCTGGAGCTTTTTTCTTGAGCAGGTTGGTGTCCTGTTGCCATGGCAATAGGCTTGGCTAAACTGTGCACCCACCCTTTCTGGTTCTGGGGCTACTTTCTATTTGGGAATATTGAAAGTTGCCCTCCTGATGTCTCCGGCTTCCTGACAGGCCTTGTTGGGTCTTTTCCAAAGGCCTGCAACCTCCTCAGCTTCCCCTCCGTCCTTTTGTAAGGAGGTTTTCCAGGAAGCATCTTCCTGGTTGCTGGACGAGACTTGGTTGGTTATATATAGCCTTGGGTGGAGGTGTGCTTGGCTATTGGGTATTAAGGATACTGGGAGTGGAGCCTCAATTCCAGGAAAACAGTGGGGTGAGCTGTTGTGTTGCAGGCTGAGGGCACTGAGGAAGGGTTGTAGCCCGGGGAGGAGGGACTGAGTAGGAAGGTCACAGGCTATGGATACTTCCTTTGAGAGCTTGGACTTTGGATAGTTGACTGCTGGATACTTGGTATCTGAGTATCTTGTTTGTTTGCTCTCTCCTGGCTTGGCTCAGGTCCCAGGTTGTGTGTCTGAAGGCTTCTTCCTCAGAAGCCGTCATCACAGGGACGGTGCCTTTCCTAACTCCAGTGCTGTCTGGGCTTATTACCCAGATAGATCCCTTTCAGTGACTTTGCTGGAGGCCACTCCCTGAAGGGGGCACGTGTCTTCAAAAATGGGACCCGAAAAGTCTAAGACTCCCCCGAAGCAGGTATCTGTAGGTGCACTGGGTGGAGCAGGACTGGGCTTTCTGTGAAAAGGGAATCCACCCTGCTGGGGTGGAGCAGGGAGTTGGGACTCCGGAAGTCTTCACCTAGTCTAAGTGTGTCAAAGGATTTCGGGGCAGCAGGGCTGTTCTTGCTGGGTGAAACCACAGATCTGCCTCTAGCCCCCGGAGTGGGCACCGCAGACTGGAAGCAGATCTTTTACATGAGTCCTGGTCTGGAGGGTAAAACTGAAGGGCTGGGGAGCCACTGTGTGTTCTGACTGACAGGTCCTCCCAGCACTCAGGAATGAAGTTTAAAGTTGTGCTTTGGGTTAGGTCCTGGCTACTTTAAGATCTTTATGCCTCATCCTACCCCAGTCATCGTCTGCTTTCCCCACCCCAGCTCTTCTGAGGTCTATTTTTTTTTTTAAACTATTTTCTGGGGTAGCCAGAATTAGAGGCTGCAGAGCAGTAGAGTTTGGAGCTAGAATGGCAGGAGTGAGTGGTGACTCTCTAGTCCCCCCCACTTCTTCATCTTCCTCCCCTTTGTGGAGGTAGGAATTGTGCCTTGTAAATGATCCGCATTCCCTTGACATTTCTGTTTAGACAAACAGGGGTTTTGTGTTGTAGACAGAGGCTTTTACAGGGCTCAACGATGGGTTTCACTTTTTGCCAGGTACTTTATCATCTTTGGCTATGTGTGTGTGTGTGTGTGTGTGTGTGTGTGTGTGTGTATGTCATATACACACATATATACATATATAGTCAAATTTATATATTTATAAATTCTCTGTTCAGAGAGATAGTGTCGGGTTCAAGGTCACATGGCAAGTCTGAGACAGAGAAGGATTCGAACCTGTGTCTTGTAGTACAGCAGAATTTCTCTCAAGCAGAGATTTGGGGCAAGTCTGTGCAGTCAGACCTTTAAAGATTTTACAGTTGGAAGACCCGAGGCTGAAGAGGAGATGCCACTTGCTCAAGGTCACGCAGAAGGGGTGGGTGACCTGCAGAGGGGTGGCAGGATTGGGCTGCGGACTGGAGGCACTGGAGGCTGAGGTGACACTTGGAGGGGGAGGCTGGGCCTCGGGCATTCTCCCGCCCAGGTCCTCCCGGGCCTCCGCAGCTTGCTGCTTGTGGGAGTGGGTTCCGCAGCAGCAGGAGGTGCCGGACTGCAGATGCGGTCGCTTGCTCTGCGGGCTGGCTGGCGAGGAAACGCCGAGGGCCACGGGGCTACTGGGCTGCTCTGGGCGGGCCGGCTGATGTCATGTGAGAAGCGTGCACACCTGGAGCCAGATAAGCTCCGTGTGACCTGGCAGTGAGTCACGCGGCACTGCGGAGCTCAACAGAAGCGGCGGGCGCGGGCCAGGTCAACCTGTGCGACCCTGCGTGGCGCTGCACTGTCGCAGGCCGGCCTGGGGAAGAGGGACCTCAGCTGGAGGGAACCATGGCTCCCGAGGTCAAGAGGCCAAGGGAGAGAGGCCGGCCTCCTCGGGAAAGGCATTTTCTTTGTATTTATGAGTGTGGGGTGGGGTGGGGTCGGGGAACTGACCTAAGGATCCATCCACAGCAGCCTAGTTAGGGCCTCCGTTTGGGGACACTAATGCTATAGTATAGGAGTTTCCATTTCCTGGGGTTTCTGTTTTGCCCGCTGCAGGATGGTCCATTTAATTCTGTCCTAAAGCCACAGAACACCACTTGAAAGTTTTGAAGACAAGAAGGCAAGCCTTATACTGACCATGGCAAATGCTGTTTACAGCTTTGATGCCAGGAGATTGCTCACTCACTAGATTACAAGAATCCCTTTTTCATTTTGTGAAATGGTCACCCTCCCCATCTCCGACTCTAGAGTCAGACCTTGTTTTGTTTTTGGTGCAGTGCTGGCCATTCAAACCCAGGCCTGTCACAAGTGTCAGTCCAACCCTTTACCGCTGAGCTGTTTGGCCAGCTCTGCAGAACTTTTAAAGGCTTGTTATGTGGATGGGTAGAGAGAAAGTTAAATGTTACATCAAAATATAAGTTAACATACGTATTTTTATGTTTTCTGTAGAAAATAAAGCATGCAGAAACATTGCTCAAAATCCTATTCCACGGGGGCTGGAGAGATGGCTCAGTGGTTAAGAGCATTACCTCCTCTTCTAAAAAGGTCCTGAGTTCAATTCCCAGCAATCACATGGTGGCTCACAACCATCTGTAATGAGGTCTGGCGCCCTCTTCTGGCCTGAAGGCATGCTTGCAGGCAGAATACTATATACATAATAATAAAGAAAACATTAAAAAAAAATCCTATTCCACTCAGTTCCCCCGCCCTCACTCGGACACACATGCACCTACCAGTTGAATATTCACATTGTAAAAAATTATACCATGGGCCAAAAAAATGCCTCAGCTGGTAAAGGTACTTGCTGCCAAGCCTGACGATCTGAGTTCAATTCCTGGGAACTTCAAGGTAGATAGAAGGAGAGACCTCTCACAAGTTGACCTTTTATGTCTGCAGTGGTGCTGTGGTACATAAGCGCATATACACAGATAAATGAATAAAATGTAATAAAAATTAAAAGTGTGTACGCATACACGCACACATATACCACAAATCTGGTTTTGTTTTTTTTTTGTTTTTGTTTTTTTTTGTTTTTCGAGACAGGGTTTCTCTGTGGCTTTGGAGCCTGTCCTGGAACTAGCTCTGTAGACCAGGCTGGTCTCGAACTCACAAATCTGTTTTTTTAGCTGTTCTAAAATCTGTATCTCTTCAAAGCATACATTTCCCCCCTTGAACATGCAAATAAAATATGTACTATACACGTGTACATTCACAAATACACACATACATACATTAAAAAAATTAGCAGCTGAGTGGTTGTGGCGCACACCTTTAATCCGAGAACTCTGG